ATGCGGTGAACCCTCGGAGTGACATTCACATGAACGATAGAGCCTTCGCCCTTGATCAATCCCATTTCGGCGCGTGTTCTTCTTCCATTCCAGAATCGTGAAGGCTTATTGAAGGCGATGTGGCCTACACAGTGACTTGCGGGGCCAACCTGCAGAAGTATGCGCTTTTAGCCTCCCAGTAGAAGCTGCTACCATTTCATGGAGGGTAAAAGGATTGCTTGGTCCACGCACAAGCCGATCCGGGATTTGAACCATGGACTAAGCGCGTGATAAATGAGCCCCTTGTCACTGTGCCACTCCGACAATTTAATAAACGAATAATAAAATTAAACATACCGCTAGACATTTCTCGATACCACCGAAATTGGACCATCGAGGTATTTTGCGAGAGCGTGAAGCTTGGCGCGTAACAGACCCAGCTGGCAGTTTTTGGTCGCCTTCAATGGAAATGGTATGATAATTTACAGCACAGAGAAAATTTCAAAAATACGGCAGGCAAACAGACAATAATTTGTAGTAGGAAGTATAACAAAGTGAAGGACATTCACATCACTGATAAAGGGATGGACAACGGCCCGTTGTCACAGGAGGTCGTATTCAGAGCCGTACAAAGTATGTAGCACAAGTTCTTTACAGCCAAGATCCAAGACCTAACAAGCTGCAGCAAATCACTGAAATGACGGTGACGGAGCATGTGTGACTCGGACTGCTGCAAGACTAACTATCTCACTCCAGGACAGCCGGGACGTAAGGCACGTCGCACGTTGGGGTTCCTCAATGCCTAGGACAGGCCGTATGTTGCCGACGAAGTAGGAGTGAGTCTTATCTAAACCTCTAGAATTTTGCTGATTCTTGATTTCTACCGTTTCACGCAACTCACAATGCTTATCGGAGGTCCTTCCCAGGTCAGGGCACATCGTTGTTGGGGAATCCCCAACAGGGGGTCGTATTTGGCCGCCGGGGGTCGTATTTGGGCTGGGAAAAATTTATTTTGATAGTTGATTTTTCTCGCTTCACGGACGTTGTAAAAGGGGAGGGGGGGGGTCGTACTTGTCATTGTTGGGAGGGGGGGGTCGTATTTACGTTTTGGCGTTGTAGGAGCGGTGGTTGACTTTTTCTGATTTTCCTGTAACATGCGTACTATGCGGCCCCCCTCCCCTGATCGAGGCTCGATTCGATGAGGAGGGAGAGCCGGAGGCCGGGGGAGGGTCGTGGTCGTACCGACTCGACTAAAATCCACAACCAATGATGTGCCCTGTCCCAGGTACATACGTTTTGACGCGGCGCCAACCCATTGAAATAAATGGTGGCCCGTCCGATAAGGGCAACAACTGGCGGAAAGGGGCCGGCGCCGTGCCAAAAGCGTATCTGCGCGGTAACCCCCACATGACGCACTTTAATTGATGGCCGGAGGAGAAAAATCAGCTTGAAGGGTTGTTTCAAGAAGTAGTCGTGTATAAAGAAACGTTCCCCAACATCACGACGTTCTCCGCCCGGCCGACCGCGCACCTAATACAAACAAGTGAAGGTTTAGCGTAGCGCGGCTCCACCCCCCCCCCTCCCGAGAGAAAAGTACACAACAGACACGACATGAGGACTGCTGAAGACGCTTCCAAAAATTCTTGTGCACTATGGACGAGAGGATCCCATCCATCCAATAGAATATCGTCAAAGTTTGTAAAGTACCCACCTTCAACGCCAACAACATATTTGATACTCGCGTTGCGGCTACGATACCATCTTCACATACAATCATGGCCTCTTTTAAATCTTCTCGTCCGCCTGGAATCAGAAATTAGCTATCTAGCAGTGATAATTTCTACAGAAAACAAATTATATAAACAACATAAAGCTCAGATTCATAGTACTCGCCTTTTTTATCGAATGATTCCCAGATACTAGAGATCAGTGCAGCAGATATGTTCGCGTGGTCCTTGCTATCACCGTAACCATTATAGGCTAACAACAGTCCTGAAAAAGGATTGCACTATTCGTAAGCGACGCTCAAAAATCAACACGACCGGGAACACTAGCCGCGTTCATTTACTCTTACTTCATTACGAGTGGGAGGGAAAAACTTTATGCCCAAGCTTATGGAAGGAAAACTTCATCCTTGGATCCTAAGGTGAAGTACGTCACTCATCTCAAAGCGCCTAGTTTTATGCAGGGATGATCATCTCCCGCCAGGGTGCAGCATTCTTGTACGAAACTCATCAGTTCATTTGGGGGGGGGGGGAGAGGGAGCGTATTTGTACGCTTATACTGTGTGAAAAGACGGAAAGCGAGAAGCACAGTGGTCAAAGAACACTATGTAAAGAAGAGCGCGCAGATGATAGCAGAAGCAGTCGAAAAGCCGATTTCAAGCAGATGAGGACGTGATTTAGTCCAAGAGCCTCACAACTGACTTTTGCGTAAGGACTTCTGGCTAAATAACTCATTAATGAAGGAAAGGAATGACCGCATACCTTCACGGTTGAACACCAATGCTCCAGTAACTTCAGCTGTGTTCACTTGTCCCAGAACTTCCTCCAAAGCTTTCTGACGCAACATCTGTATGAAATTCAACTTTTGTATACTTACAAAAACTTAAGCAATCCTAGATCTCTGAATGTTAAAGTTGGAGTGAACACATGCCCACATGCTACAATAATCCTCTCATGGTCGTATCAGGATATCTATCGACCGCAAAACCTCCTCCTCTCTTCATTCATTTTTCCTTCCTTCTTTCTCTTCCCCTTCTTCTTGGTTTTTCTCCCTCCAAGTGTTTGGCGAGAAGATGCGACGAGAAATTGCGTTTGGACTCTAGCGATGGAATGACGAATAGATCGCCCGAGCTTGGGAATAGGGATTACTACATCGGTGAGAGGAAGAAGCAGGTACTCGTGATTGTGCTACCCTCAATCCGCGGACCCTTTCAACTAGTGAGTGCCCCTTGCAGGTAAGTAGTACCTGTGAAGTCAACTCCACCACAAACATTAGCTGTATTGGAAAGGATACAGCTAATGTTTGTGGTG